GATCGTCCTGCGACTATTCAAACTCCGAGTTCCGGGATCCGTCCTCCTTGCTTGCGCCATTCCCGCGTAGAGCGGGATCTTTAGTACGTCAACAGAAAAGCTCCAGTTCGAGCAGGAATAGTCAGTGGCGTGGCAATCAGAAAAGAGAATCCGAATGAGAGACCTTTCTAAAGCTGCATTGACGTTTCTCTTAGATTTGTGTGTTTGACTGGACTTGTAGTCGTGCCGAAGATTCAAACAATTGGGAATATATTGGTTTTGAATTAGCAAGATTTAGAATGAAATGCTGTGCTGCGGCATCTCTGGAATCCTGATCTGTTTAGTTTCCCTCTGCGGGGAATTTGGGGGATCTTGCCAATGCAGCACTGGCGTGCTCTTCTCCAAGAGATCATCTGCCAAATCCTACCTTGGTTGATTGTGAATCCGTGATGCCGTCGGAACAGCTGATGAGGATTGTGATGGCCGCGCAGCTAAACCCCAAAGCTCGGCTACTTCTAATGCCACATCAATCCCTTCCATGGGTTGGGTGGTCGAGCTCTCCCCAGTCAAGCCATGGTCACTTGGTGTTGAGTTCGTCATAGTGGTCACCATGTCCACGATCTTTGCGATGTCCAGCGCTTTCTCCTGCTCCTCGCTCAACAGCTTCTGGTCGTGGAGGCGGCACAGAATCGACATTGCATGCTTGCTCCTCTCGCCATCGTGATTATCCAAACCAAAGGAGAGCGCGCTCATGAGAACTGCTATAACGTCGTCACTGCTACTGCCGCTTCCATCGAGTAGCGTTTCCAGGTACTGGCGATTCTTGCGGCAGAGAAGATCCAGCACTACTGCCACTTTGCTTCCTAGTGGATCAGCTTGGCAGGTACGGAGGAGCTGGAACAATCCATAGATGACGCTCTTGTAGCCAGGGAGAAGATCACCATCGCTGGGATCATAGGCTAGCAATGCCGCGAGAGCGTCTAGAGCTAGCTCCTGGAGCTCCTGGGAGGAACAAAAGAGAGCATTCGCGAGGTACCTTGTCAAGTCGTGATTCTTCCTGAGTAGCGTCCTCAAATTCTTTGCGATCTTCTGCTTGGAGCTCTGGATCTCTGGCTCGTCATCAACCCGGGCTGGATCATCTCCTGCATCGATGGAGATGATCCATTCGCCATTCCTGAGAGAATCCTTCCACTTCTTGTCCATATCCCCTTGCGCAAAATCAAAGTTCGCGATCACACCCGGCTCGGCATTGGCAATCCCTCCAAATGCCGCAAGCTTTCCTAGCAGCTCCAGCACCGACTTGTTGGTATCCGGCTCCAGCGCTTTCACCAGAAGCGAGACGCCTTCATCACTGGCCTGGACGACGTGTGCCACAGCGAAGAAGGCGTTTTCATCTTCGCAGATCTCGGCCACTAGAGAAATCGCCGCTCGCCGGTAGATGAGATAGTACTTGTCGCCCATGCACTCGAACAGCCGCTCCACAACTTGACGCTTAGATGCCAAGAGGAGCTTCCCACTTCGCTTTCTCTGATCTTCTTCTTCCCAGTGGCACACTGCATCCAGCATCAACAAGCTTTTCCTCAGCTCCCGGTTGCCTCTCGATTCCAAGAACTCGTTCGCGACGTAGTCGACCAAGTTCATCCTTAGCCCCTTGATGGCTCCATCTCTCAACGTCGTCTCGTACACGGCAACGAAGAACTTGGACTTAGTTTCCAGGAGAAATCTCGGTCGGTCCCTGTTCTTCTTCGCCTTCTTGTACCTCACTGATATGATCTCCCAGCAGCCGCGGATGCACAGGAACAAGCTCGACTCGGCGATGACGATCGAGGAGAAGCTGATCATTGCGACGAACTCGTTGGACTTTGGATACTTGGGGTGCAGTAGTAGTAGCCAGCGGATCGTGACTCTGAGGCTGACGAGAGCCAGAAGGATCTCAGTATTGTAGGCCATGTTGTAGACGATGACGAATGAGCGCCCGGAGCGAGCATTGTACAGCAGCAAGAGAAGCAGCAGCAAGAGAAGCAGCAGCAAGAGAAGCAGCAGCAAGAGAAGCAGCGACAAGAGAAGCAAGAGAGGCAGCGACAAGGAGGTTTGTATATAGACGCCGAAGGGAAAGAGGACGAGGAGGCGAAGGAGGGCGATGACGAGTAGGATCAGGCGGGAATTCACCTTTCGTTTCTTTAAGCCTTCGGACAAGTTGAGAAACCGGAAGCCCCTGATGCCATAGCTAACGAGCAGGAGACTGACGTAGTAGAAGTCACAGATTTTCAGATCGTTCACAAATCCCCCCAGGAGAACCACAGTCGCCCACAGGAACATAAACTTTCCCAAGTTCGTGGTGAACTGCTCCAGAGTTGCGAGCAACACAGCACCCATAATAAATCAATTTCCCCTGTTTTGCTGGAGCTAGCTTCCTGCCTGTTCTTCACTCAAGCGAGTTTTGATCGGATTCTTCAGCGCTAGTCAAAACTTTGGCCATTTGCAGCTTCCAAGAATCATCACGCTGGAAAATCTCATTAGTAGCAATGACACTGAATATGTACACTAAAGTTTACCTCTTGATACTACAATTCGCGTCGAAAGAGCTCTCCTGGCTCTCAAAACAATCACCCAAGAATCTGTTCACCGAGCAGCAGTATTCACACCTTGATCTTGCTCCGTCTCTTCCGGTGGTGGCTTCACATAGCGGCCCAGAGACTTCTGCTTGTAGCGGCTGCGCATTCTAGCCAGCCTCTCCTTGTTCCTGCGCTTCCTTTCCAACTTCATGTTGTATCTCTCCTGCCTCTCCCTCTCCAAAATTCCCTGCCAGAACACTTCTCCCGTGTGTGGCCAGAGCCACCGGTACGTAGGATGCTCGTCGTCAACTTTCTCAGCCATGTCTTCGTCCATTCCCTTGAGCACGCTAAAGCTGAACCACTTCACTTTCATCTGCCCGCGTCGGCTCTCGAGAGCGTTCTGCTCCATCATTATACCCGTCTCAGGATCCACGTAGATGAGTCTCCTGGCACTGTGATACGCCCAAACGTTCACCAGGACCTCAAGTAAATGGCAGTAGCAGTGTTGAGCCTAAGATATTTAGTATTTAGAACTCACAGCGACAAGAATTCGAGGTTGTACCATACCTCCAGTTGTGTGGTTGCAAGAGGACAGTTTCCATGATCGTGATGTTCAACGTAGAGCCGAGAATCGAGAGCGTCCACGAACATCCTAGGACAAGATAACCAGTTAAGTTGGAGTATGTGCAACAAACTGCAACAGACCGGGAAAACATGACGAACTCCACGAAAGATGAGGTAGACATGGCCCAGCAATGCTTGCTAGACCAGACACCAGATGGCATCGTTGGAAGCTCCAGTTGGTCTTTGTTTAAGCCATACATTGTTTTGAATGTCTCCATGAAAATCCGCCTGGAATGAACACCGTTGGCCTTGACAAACTTTGTCTCGACACATACCTGCAGTTTCCAGCATTGCTTGCATCGCAAGAAGTCCAGAAATCTTCCGACTTGCCAGCCCAGAAATAAACGGCATCGCCATGAATACCGACCTTCACAGCCTCGGCTAGAGAGTTTTCAGCTTTTGGCGACAGAGCAACCTGAGGAAAGAAAAATTTAAGATCGTATCCACCGTCAATCCGCAATTTCTTACTCTTTCGGTAGCAGCTAGCGAGGGTTGAAATCCAATCCACGAGTTCTTATGCACTCGATCAATCCTGTTAGCGATTGCGAGAAATCCACCAAAATCGCAAAAGCTATCGCGGTAGAAAGTGTCGTTTAAAAGCACAAGGCGTGATGCAGCATCAATGTCGTCGACCCTTGGTCTCCTTCCCCTCGGTGACTGCATCAAAGTTGAGGTGATGAGAACTTCAAGTACAACACGAGCTTACCAGACTAAGACCACGGTACAGAGGATAATTCTGATGGAGGGAAGCCCAGCCGCTGTTTCCGTCGTAAGTTTCGTAAATGCATAGCGGCTGCCCAGTGCGCTCAAGCTCCCCATCGTCACGTTCGTGATTCTCAAACTTCTCCCTTTCGGCTCTTTTCACGCCTCGGTTCACATCCTCAAAAGTCGCTTGGGCTTGTTCTTTTTTCTCATCCAGCTGATGAAAAAGGAGAAAGAAGGAATGAGAACAATGAAAGAAGGAGCATCACACTGATGGTATACCTCCTCCTCTTCTATTCTCTCCACGTCTTCAATCGCATGCAGATCTCGCTCCACAGCCACTTCTCCTTCCAGATTTTCTTCGTAGTCTTCAAAGTTGGCAATAGAACTGTTAATTTTTGCGGAGGCTCCTTGCTCGTCATGAGCTAAAGTTCTTTGCTCCAAGCCAGATGGACGCGTTCGGGCAACTCTAGAACCATTGAGAAAATTCTGCTGTAAATCGTCAGCTCCACCGGGAAGATTCATCTCGGAACGCTTGGTGACGATCCCTTCTAACAGCAGCACCGACTGGAAAACCAGCCATAACACTACCGCAGTGATGACAATCCTGGAAGCCAAAACTTTGCCTTTCACTGGAAAACATTCCCCACACTCCCTCTTGCTCGCCTTGGAAAATCCATGAGCGGCGCCGCCACCGCGAACATTCACGACCACCTGGGAAGGCTGGAGCTGGAACGCATTGCCATTCCTAGCGCCTCCATTCTGGGGCAGCCACCGCTTGGACGCATTCCCTGCTCTAGAATTCCCCGATGGCCCGGTGAAGGCCGTCCCTTCCCTGCCAGGCGCTCCACAGTGCGGGGAGCTCCCTCCCATTTCCCTTCCCTGGACTCACATTTCACGAATCCGGCTCGCATTTCGCGAAATCCCGCTCCAGCGCCCGTCACAACGCCGAGATCTCGCAATGTAGCCCCGCATCGCCGCCTAGCGCCACCGGATCCAGCTGCCGCGAGAGAGAGACACCTAAAAACCCTAGACCTCTTTCTCTCTCCTGTGCGTCCTTTCTTGTCTTGCCAGCAAGAACCCACTCGTGATCAATCCCTTCCAGAGAATATTCCCGGGATCGATCGATGGATAGATGGATCACTCCGGGCAGAAGGCGTTGGAGAGGAGCACGTAAGGCGTCGCTTGCTCGGGATCGCAATCCGAGGATTGGACCGCACATCGCGCTCCCAGATCAACATCGCCGTGGACGCGGCAAGCGCTGAGCAGCGATGTCCACTCGATGTCCCCAGGAACAAAGGGCATGGCGGCGATGAGCTCCGCGGCGTCGTCCAGATGCCCCATTCTGCCAAGCACATCGATCATACACCCGAAATGCTCCAGCGTGTGGCGCAATCCCCGATCCTCCTCCACCGATGTGAAGTAGCGCCAGCACTCGTGGATCAGGCCGGCGTGGGCGCAAGCGCTGAGCACTACAAGGAAGCTGATCTCGTCTGAAGCGGTGCCCTCGAGATCCATCCCCCGGAAGAGCCCTAAAACCTCGGTGAATCGCCCGGCGTGGGCGTATCCTTGAAGGATATTCGACCACGCCGCCACGTCCTTGATGGGCAGAATATCGAAGAGCTCGCGAGCGTCCAGCAAATGCCCTTCCAGGGTATATCCTGTTATTAGCGAGTTCCACGACACAACATGCCAACAGGGCATTTTGTTAAACAGTAACTTTGCTGTGTGACTTTGGCGAGACTTGGCATACGTGGTAATTATGCTATTCCACGTTACATCGTCTCTAGCGGGCATGGAGTTAAAGGTATCTCTTGCGAGTAACACATGCCCTAACTCGGCATTTGCGGTAAGTATCGCGTTTCCAGAGACTATGTCACGATGTGGCATTTTGGCATAGTATTCGGTTGCCCTAACGGTATCTAATTGCGAGCATCCCGACACAATGAGGCTCCAAGAGAATCTATCTCTTTTGGGCATGGCGTGGAAGAGATCCTGGCCCTCCATCGCCATGCCATTCTGAACGTAAGCGTGGATCATCGCGTTCCAGGCCGTGATATCCCTCTCCGGAATCGCGATCGCGTCAAACATGGCGCGCGCTCGATCGATCTGGCCGCCGCTCGCGTAAGCCGTGAACATCGCCGTGAGAGTGATGACATCGCACTCGCTGTGGGGGATCGAGTAGAAGACGCGCTCGGAATCGGCCAATCGCCCGGCTTTGGCACATCCCTGGAGGATCGCTGTCCAGGCGACGATGTTTCGCTGGGGGATCCGGTGGAACATCCCCAGCGCCTCGTGGATCTTGGAATGGGAGCAGTAGGCTGTGATCATCTCGCTCCAGGTGATCACGTTCCTGGCGGTGGCGCCATCGAATGTCCGCCGCGCCCCTTCCAGATGACCATTGCGGGCAAATGCCGAGAGAAGGATGTTCCAGGAGTAGACATTGGGGCGATCAATCGTGGAGAAGACCGCCGCCGCCTCGCCCACGGATCCACACTTGCCATACATCTCCACAAGCAAATTCGCGAAGAATCGATCGCGGCAGTAATCCGTGGCCAGCATCTCGCGATGCGCCTCGCGGCATTTGAAGAGATTGCCGGAGATTCCACACGCCTTGACGACATCGAACAGCCTCGCCTTGAGGCCCTCGCCCATAAACCCTAAAAGAAACTTTTAAACTTCCCGCCATATTTTGAAAAAGAGCGGGCTCTGCTTCTTAGGGTTCTTGCGATAACGAGCAAATTTACTCGCAAGTTTCCAATTCCGGAGACCGCCACGATCGGTGGTTACAAATTAAGTCCACGCGGTGATGGGGAAGATCACATACCTAATGCCCCCTTCATTCATTCGCTCCCAGACAGCGCAAACAAGCAACGAATTCTCGCGGAGACGATCTCTCCTTTGCTTGATCTCGCCAAAGAAAAGAAGAAATCCCTCCAATCGGTCATCGATCCGGGTTTGATCATGCCAGGAGCTGGAGGGATGTCGCCGTGCGCCGCTTGCAAGCTTCTGAGGAGGCGCTGCGCCAAGGATTGCATCTTCGCCCCATTCTTCCCGCCGGACGAGCCCCAGAAATTCGCCTACGTCCACAAAGTCTTTGGCGCCAGCAATGTGAACAAGATGCTCCAGGTAAGAAAGCCCCTTTGGATCGACCAATCGCGAATTCCCAGCTCCTCTCTCTCTCTCTCTCTCCAGGATCTTCCAGTGTACCAGCGGGCAGACGCTGTGAACAGCATGGTGTACGAGGCGAATTCGCGGATCCGGGACCCTGTCTATGGCTGCGTAGGCGCAATCTCGGCGCTCCAGCAGCAAGTTGCCCAGCTCCAGGCACAGCTCGCGGTATCCCAGGCCGAGATCGTGTGTATGCGAATGCAGCACGCCTCCACGACGATCGCCCTAGGGCAGCACTGCAAATCCCCCTCGCATCTATCGCCCCCAGCGCCATCGTCGCCAGAAATCAATCACCAGAACTACAGGCCACCGATCGGATCAGCGGCAGCGCATGATGGCTTCTCGGCGGGATCGCTGCTCGAAAATTAGGGCTAGAGAATTGTTCCATTTTTTACAAACCTTACAGTGAATGAAATTAGGGTTCTTGGGCTTAGGTCACTAGGGTTTTGATGGCGGCTTCGTCGCTGTGCCTGATCGGCTGCGTGGCGCTGTGGATCCTCGCCGGCACTGCCTTGGCTGAAGATTTAGTGGTCGCCAAGCTTGATCGTCGGGTATGTTGCCACATTTCTCTCGAAATGTTTTTGATCGGGATTTTCGCAGGTCGATCTGACATCGCAAGTGGCAAGAACCCTCGTTTCTTTCAAGGTAATTCAGTGCATTCTCAGTCATCCCTGGTAAATCTCGCTTCCACTTCCAGATCGAAAATTCCGGATCCGATCCAGCGACCAAGTTCTTGTTTGCGCTTTCCAAGGATCAATTTGACCATCTCGCATTTATCTCGGCCGCGTCTGTGTCAGTGAAAGGCAAGTCGAGGACACAATCCGCGCCTCTAACCGTGAAAGAAGTCGAGAAGAAGGAAGATCCGAGCTCCGATGCTGTCTACTTCGAAATCTCTCTAGAGAAATCTCTAGAGCAAGGCCAGGCAGCGACCATCGATGTCCAGTACGCGCTTACACATACGCTGACGCCCTTCCCACGAGAGATTCGTCAGTCCGAGACACAGCTCGTGCTATACCACGACTCGGCATACGTGCTTTCTCCATATCTGGTGAAGTTCCAGACAACTTTCTTCAAGCTTCCAGGCAGCCGTGTGGAGTCCTATACCAAAGTGGAGCCGACCAAGTTGGGAGACAAGGAGATCAAGTATGGACCTTACGAGAACGTTTCGCCCCTCAGCCAAGCACCTGTGACGCTCCAGTTTGAGAACAATCGGCCGTTTGCAGTAGTGGAAACACTTGAGCAGGAGATCGAGATCTCGCACTGGGGGAACGTGTATGTTACCGAGAACTATCACCTCAAGCATACTGGAGCACGTCTGAAAGGTGGATTTTCCAGGTTAGTCTGTAGATTATTCATTTTCCTCAGTGATTATTGGACTAACTGAGCTTTTGCAGGCTAGATTATCAAGCTAAAGGAAACGGTGTTTCTGCCTTTCGCTATCTTGCCGCGATCTTGCCCCCACGGGCACACTCGATCTACTATCGTGATGAGATTGGAAACATTTCTACTTCTCATGTCAGGAACGAGCCTAAAAGAGTAAGTATTTCGAATTCTTTCCTCTCGTGTTTTCGAGTGTATGATTGTTTGATCTTGGCAGACGATAGTTGAGTTTGAGCCAAGATATCCGCTTTTTGGAGGCTGGCAAGTGAAGTTTACTTTGGGATACAGTGTCCCTCTCCAAGATTTTGTGTTTTTGGCTCCTGATGGAAGCCGCTACCTTAACTTTACCTTCGGTAGTCCTCTTGTCGACGTAGTTGTGGAGAAGATTACTACAAAGGTACTTAAACTTACTATTTTGTTCATGTTGAGCTGCTAACGCAATGGTTTCAGGTTGTTCTGCCCGAGGGATCAAGAGATCCCAGTGTGGAAGCACCATTAGCTTTGGATGAGCAACATCAGGAGGTATATAACTTGCTCCAGTTTAGTTGATGGTTAACAGGGTGGTTGTTTTTTCCAGGTGAAACATAGCTACTTAGATACAGTTGGTCGTAAAGTCGTCGTCCTCACGAAGAAAAATGTTGTCGCCGAGCACAATGTACCGTTTCAGGTATGAGGTCTTCATAGACAGAAAAACTTGAGAAAATGATATCATCCCTGCAGGTCAAATACAAATTTAATCCTCTGGCCATGCTTGCGGAACCACTGATGCTCATTTTCGGCTTCTTCTGCTTCTTCTTAGCTTGCATGGCGTACTTGCACTTCGATTTTCCAATATCGAAGTCCTCTGCCGCTTACCAAGCTCGTCTCCAGCAAGAGGAGGTGAGCATATATCTAAGAGTCCTCTCTTTTCTTTTCTTTTTCTGACCGATAAATATCTGCTGTGACTAGGTCCTTGATCTTCTGCAACGCTTCCAAAAGCTCATGAAAAGACGGCTCTTCGAGGCTGAGAAGCTCGAGGCAGCATTGCGTGACCTCGCCCGTACCGGCGACGTTGCTCCTTGCAAAGCCAGCAAAAAACTAGTAGATCCAACGCTGTCCAAGGAAGTGAAAGCCATTCACGAAGCTTTGCAAGCAACTTCACGCTCGTCAAGTGTCAACTCAAAGGTAGGTTTTTTTTTCTTTCCATTCGTTTGTTTGCTAATTGAGGATCATCACAGGTGGAGGCCTTGATCACGAAAGAGAAAGAGAAGCACGAGAGGCTTCTCCAGAAGCTGAATCTCACAGTGGATTTGTACGAGAGGAAGATGAGCAGCAAGGAGATCGATTCACGCCTCGTTCCCCACGAGCAAAAGTACACTCACCTCAAATCGGAAGTGGCGGAGCTGATGGATAGCTTGGACGATTGAAAGAAAGGAGGAAGAAGAAGCACTCACACAGAACACCACAAGAATAATCGGACAATTGAAAAGACTAAGGTGTCTTAACATCTAACGAAGAATGTTTCTAGATCATGCCAATGGGATTTACTCTCATTCCTGAGCACTAGTGGGTCTCTTCTGAAGCAATGCACGAGATTGCGAGAAAGTTTCTTATGGTTCTTTGTTTCTTACCATGGTAAGTGCGGGATCTTGAGGGAGCGAGGAGCCCAAATTCTGAGTTGAAAAGAGGGGTACGTTACCTTGGTTGATTGTGAATCCGTGATGCCGTCGGAACAGCTGATGAGCATTGTGATGGCCGCGCAGCTAAAACCCAAAGCTCGGCTACTTCTAATGCCAGATCAATCCCTTCCATGGGTTGGGTGGTCGAGCTCTCCCCAGTCAAGCCATGGTCACTTGGTCTTGAGCTCATCATAGTGGTCACCATGTCCACGATCTTTGCAATGTCCAGCGCTTTCTCCTGCTCCTCGCTCAACAGCTTCTGGTCGTGGAGGCTGCACAGAATCGACATTGCATGCTTGCTCCTCTCGCCATCGTGATTATCCAAACCAAAGGAGAGCGCGCTCATGAGAACTGCTATAACATCGTCACTGCTACTGCCGCTTCCATCGAGCAGCGTTTCCAGGTACTGGCGATTCTTCCGGCAGAGAAGATCCAGCACCCCTGCCGATTTGCTTCCTAGTGGATCAGCTTGGCAGGCACGGACGAGCTGGAACAATCCATGAATGACGCTCTTGTAGCCAGGGAGAAGATCACCATGGCTGGGATCATAGGCTAGCAATGCCGCGAGAGCGTCTAGAGCTAGCTCCTGGAGGTCCTGGGAGGAACAAAAGAGAGCATTTGCCAGGTACCTTGTCAAGTCGTGATTCTTTCTTAGTAGCGTCCTCAAATTCTTTGCGATCTTCTGCCTGGAGCTCTGGATCTCTGGCTCGACATCGACCCTGGCTGTATCATCTCTATCGCCATTGAAGGTATAGCGGAGGGAATCCTTCCACTTCTTGTGCGTATCCCCTCGAGCAAAATCAAAGTCCGCGATCACACTCGGCACGGGATTGGCAATCTCTCTAAATGCCGCAAGCTTTCCTAGCAACACCAGCACTGACTTGTTGGTATCCGGCTCTAGCGCTTTCACCAGAAGCGAGATGCCTGTGTCGCTGGCCTGGACAACTTGTGCCACAGCGAAGAACGCGTTCTCGTCCTTGCAGATCTCGGCCACTAGGGAAATCGCCGCTCGCCTATACGTGAGATAGTACTTGTGGCCCATGCACTCGAACAGCCGCTCCACAACTTCACGCTTAGATGCCAAGAGGAGCTTCCCACTTTGCTTTCTCTGATCTTCTTCTTCCCAGTGGCACACCGCATCCAGCATCAGCAAGCTCTTCCTCAGCTCCCGGTTGCCTCTCGATTGCAAGAACTCGTTCGCGACGTAGTCGACCAAGTTCATCCTTAGCCCCTTGATGGCTCCATCTTTCAGCGTCGTCTCGTACACGGCAACGAAGAATTTGAACTTTGTTTCCAGAAGAAATCTCGGTCGGTTCCTGTTCTTCTTTCGCAGCTTGTACCTCACTGATACGATCTGCCAGCAGCCGCGGTTGCACAGGAACAAGCTCGATTCCGCGATGACGATCGTGAAGAAGTAGATCATTGCCACGAACTCGTTCGACTTTGGATACTTGTAGTGCGGTGGTCGTAGCCAGTGGATCGAGGCTCCCAGGTTGAGGAGAGCCAAAAAGATCTCAGCGTTGTTCAGGGCTGTGTTGTAGATGATGCCGAACGAGCGCTCGGAACCAGCACTGTACCCGAATGCGAGAAGGCTGAGCACCAGCAGGAGGAGCACGAAGATGGTGAGGCCGACGTCCAAGAGGATTACCAGGACGATGGTGGTGAGTACGAAGAGAACGATGAAGAGTGCCTGGATGCGGGAGACCACCTTTGGTTTCTTGAAGCCTTTGGTCAGGTTGAGGAAGCGGAAGCTCCGGATACCATAGCTGACAAGCAGGACTGTGATGAAGTAGAAGTCGTTTTTGTCCATAGCGGTCACGAATCCCCCCAGGAGAACCACAGTCGCCCACAGGAATGTCAACTTTCCCAAGTTCGTGGTGAACTGCTCCAGAGTTGCGAGCAACACAGCACCCATAGATCAATCCCGCCGTTCTAGTTTTGCTCGCGCGATTTTACTCGAGTGTGTTTTGATCGGATTCTTCAGCGCTATACAAAAGCTTGGTCGTTCTTTGCGGCGAACGTGCACTGAGCTAGAGTTTCCAAGAACCATCATCACGCTGGAAAATCTCATCAGTAGGATATGACCGGTAAAATGTCTACCTCTTGTCAGTCGTCCACTTGCCGTATACAATTCGCGTCGAAAGAGCTCTCCTGGCTCTCAAAACAATCACCCGCAGCAGTATTGACAACTTGATCTTGCTCCGTCTCTTCCAGTGGTGGCTTCACATAGCGGCCCAGAAACTTCTGCTTGTAGCGACAACGCATTCTAGCGTGCCTCTCCTTGTCTGCGCTTCCTTTCCAACTTGATGGTGTATCTCTCCTGCCTCTCTCCCTCTCTAAAATTCACTCCATAAATCCTTGAAGAAATGTCGAGAAACAAAGGAAAACGAAATTGGAAACACACCTTATAGTGATGAATCTCTCCCAGAAGGACTGTTTGGACTGATGAAAAGCTTCCATTCGATTCTTTCGCTGTTGATATCACCATAAACGTAAGTCTAGCATAACCTTGTCACCATTATAGATACATGAGCAGCTCAGAGATCCCATCAATATCATTTTCGTCTGATTCACTTCAGCAGGAATCTTGGAATCTAAGTGTCCGCAAGAAGGGAGTGGGAGAATGCAGTTTTTTAATCTTCTAGTGGTTCTAGCATGAACATAGTGGTGCTGGATAACTTTGGCGCTCAGTTTCGTGTTTGAAGTTCGAGGTGTAAAGGGATAATTGGCTCACAATAGTTTATACCCAACTCTATTGGTGGATGAACAATCCAATTCTCTTCACAATGATAGATCACAATGATAGAAAGAGCTGACGTTGAAAGATAAAAAAAGCAATGGCATGTAGCTCCTACAAGACTGAGCTATGCCACATTAATAATTCAACTTAGTTCCCATTGGTTTCCATAATTGGTTGTTTGAAAGCTATCATGTGTTGAAATTGAATTTACCTCCAGGCCCCCCCCCGAACCTAATGAGGTAACAAATCAAGGAAGCCGCACTAAGCTCAACAAGCAAGGAACAAAGCAAGCCACGTAAGCTACCTCAAGAGATTGTTCCATGATCCCACTTTCCTTGAATAGGCTGCAAATTATCCTTCATGAACAACACATGTCTACAATCAATCCTGAACCGAGTCCATCATGGGAGGAATAAGCATTTTGATATGCTTCGTCCGAAAACAAATTAGCTGAAGCATCTGTCAACAATCAACATAGTCGCTGATCTACTCATGAAGATAACTCTTCCTATTCAGCAATTCATAAAACTTTGACTAAGTAACTTCATAAACACATTGCTCATTCTCTTGAGCTGGAGGAGCTCGTTTCCACTGGAATCCATGATCGATCCACCAAGAGTGGCACCGACGAGCACACCACTCAGAATCCTCACTCATCTTGACAAGCTTGGGAAAGACACAAACATAGTAAGGGACACATTTGCAATCAAATCTTCAAGATCTGATCAGAGGAGCATAAAGATGTATAAAAGCCAGAGAGGCACCTTAAGCTTAATGCAATTCGAGTGTCCCTTGTTCTGTCACGAGGGCAATGAATTTCTAGCTCAACTCGTCTAGCACTGTGTATGTAGCAATTTTTTATGTGGAGAAGTCATGGACGATGAAGGGATCTGTCTAACAGGGAGATGGGGCACAGCCACCAGGAATGAAAGGAGAGCTGAAAATGCCTTGCTATGAGGGGCTTGTTAGCATGCTTGGGTCCAACAAAAACCTTCGAATCCAAAGAGCCTCTTTTACTACTTCTGTTACTGCATTATATTCTGCTTTGCAAGTGGATAATGTAACCATTTGCTGCTTCTGACTGTGCCACGACATAACAGCATAACAAACCTTGAAAACGTACCCACTTGTAGATCATCTGTCATTGAGATCTCCTGTTAAGTTTGCATCAACGATTTCATATAGTTTGATTCAATGTCACCTGACACTGTGCTCTTGTATGTGATATAGAATGCTGTACTTAGTTAAAGATTCGTTCAGTGACACTTTCCTGGATCTTGCATGAATTGACATACACGAGAGACCGCGACTGCTATGTTGGGATGGCTTGTAGAGGCCAGATACATTTAAGCTCCAACCACGTTCTGGTATGGCAGAGTTGCTATCTTCTGTTTCTCCTCCGCAAAACGTGGAGCATCTGTCTTTGAGAGTTCCAGAGCAGCAATACGTGCAATGCACTGAGTGAGAAAATGTCAGTACTCCTTCAGAAAATTGAACATTGGAGATATACTTATATTGATGTGCCTGTAGTACTTTGTGGTCCCTATCATGCAAGATTTGAGCAAAGGCCAAATAAAATCTTATTGAGATCAATCATTCTTAATTTTCTGAGATAGTTGTGTCTTGATTGTGTTATGTGGCATTGTTTGTGTTGGCTTCCAAGCTCTTGCTGACCATCGCAATGCAAGATTAAGCATAAAGGCAATGTTGTCATTATTCGGCTCCTCCTGTGGGTCACTTTATAACATGGGAGCGGCAAATATTCACTAAATGATTGAAATGACATATATTTATATGTTAAAAAATCTATATAAAAAATATCTATATTTATTTTAAATGTGTGAGGTCCATAATATTAGTAGTGCCATTAAATTAATTTCAATTTGGACCAGTAGCTTTTGTATATAAATTAGGGTTTTTGGGCTATTGATATAAACATTTCTATGTTTCACATTCCATATTTTATGCACTCACATTGGTGGAGGAGAGGGGCAACTTTGATTGTCCTTGATAAGTGCTTAAATTTAGGATTTTGGTTTTTAATTTAGATCTAGCTTTTGCATCATCTAATCTTCCTTTCTTTATAATTTTTCTAATTTCTTCTCTTTTGCTTTTTCCTTTTTGTTCATCTTCA